CCAACCTTTCAAGAAAGAACAGAAATCATTAAAATAAAAACAATAACAAAATGCACATACAAAACAGCAAAAGAAAAAGTAAAATCACAAGCTAAAGTATACGACACTCCAACAGAAACACTTGAAAAAGCTATTGAACTGAGACAAAAACGTCTCTCTTCTCGATCAAATACAATTCTAAACAACCCGCCTACCATTGCACCAAACTCTAATAATGGGACAAATCACATTCTTCCCACACGCGAAAACCACGAAAAAGAAAATCCAATTTCAACAATAACACCAACACCAAGTGAAAACAACAACACTACCACTAATGACAATATTTATTCTTTATTAAATCAAACCGACTCACCAGTCATACAACAATACTTGCAATTTAGCACAACTCAGCTTCTCAATTTTGGCAACAGCTCTCCTGATTTGGATATGACGATGGAGTAAAAACTCGTTTGACGGGCTCAGGGCGGGAACGGCGGGCATTACTAGCATAATGCTAGTGATGATCGCCGTTTGCGCTCTGGGCCCGTCATCGGCCAGTCTCAAGTATATATTAAAAATATATACTTTCTGAGACTCCTCTCTCCCCCTTTTTTTTATGGTCCTTAAAATTCTGCAATGGAATCTAAAAGGTTACTATAATAATCTACACGAGCTTCAATTAATTATAAACAAATACTCTCCAGACATCATTTCACTCCAAGAAACCACCTTTCAACTTATTCTATTAGCCTAAATAATTATACACATTCTCTATGTAATACACCAACCCAAACATATGCAAAGGGTGGTACTGCCTTATTTATTAAGAAGTCTTTACAACACACATATTTACCACCAAACCCGAAGATGTGTGCCGTGACAGCAATAATAAAAGCCGAAATTACAGTTGCAATTTGTTCTATTTATATAACCCCTGGGGAAAATATACCATCACGTGATCTACAAACCCTTTGTGACAATAATCAGTGCGGTACACTGATTTTGGGTGATTTTAATGCCCATAACAAATTATGGGGATCGCCTCAAACTGATAGAAGAGGAACAGTCATCGAAAATTTCCTATTAAACTCTAATATGTGTACACTAAGCAATGGATCTCCTACTCATTTTTCGACAAGGGGAACATACACTCACATTGATCTTTCTCTCGTAACGACACATCTCCGACCTTTCTTTTCTTGGGAAACGGACCCACAACTCCATGGAAGTGATCACTTCCCGATATTTATCGAATTTTCTAAAATGAGAGATGAGTGTAACGCAAACGGAGGATTTAACAAACCCTCACGTTTTAATACTGATAAAGCTGACTGGCTGAAGTTTCAAACTAAGCTTGTGGATCTTAGCGAAAAATTTGTAGTATCTTCCAACATAAATAAAGTAGCCGCTGTATTCCACAGACTTATAACTGTAGCAGCAAATGAATCTATGCCACATGTTACCAAGCCATATAACAAAACCAATACATACTGGTGGAATGGGGATCTATCTAACCTGCGGAATCTGAAGACTTCAGCTTGGAAAGAGTTCAAAAAACATCCAACTGTAGCCAACAGAATAGAATATAAAAAAGCTAACGCAATTTTTAAGCGAGAATGTAAAATCTCAAAAAGGGACTCTTTCAATAAGTTTACAGAAACAATTAACCCACAAACATCAGTTAAGACCTTGTGGGACAAAGTTAACAAGCTATACGGGAAAGCAACGTGCCTCCATATACGTGCATTGGACACTGAAGAGGGGGGAACAGTTACAGACTCACAAACCATAGCCCAACATTTTGCCACAACATGGTCTGAGCAGGCGAAAGATTACAACTTTTCTAGCTCTTTCATTTCCCACAAATCAAATATAAACCTTTCCACAAATTCAGTAATAGATTCCACCGCTAGCTTTTTAGAAAATCCTATTACAAAGATAGAATTTGATTCTGCTCTTAACACTGCCAAAGGTAAATCCGCTGGATTTGATAAAATATCTTACGTAATGTTAAAAAACCTTCCATATAGCATAAAGCATCGATACATTGAACTTTATAACGCAGTATACCAGGCGGGAAATATCCCACAAGAGTGGAAAACAGCCACAGTTCTACCTATTCAAAAGCCTGGCAAATCCAAAACGGAGGTCAATGGGTACCGACCCATTTCTCTTCTATCATGCCCCGCTAAAATTCTTGAAAAGATTATAGCCAAAAGACTCACCTGGTTCCTCTCAAAGAAAAAGCTTATAAGCCCGCATCAGATGGCATTTAAATCAGGTAAAAGTACATTAGATGCACTACTGCACATAGACAACCAGATAGCAGAATCCATATCCAGGCGGCATCACATGTCAGTTATATCAGTCGACTTCGAAAAGGCATATGACCGTATTGGCAAACACGCAATTCTTGAGCAACTGACGGAATGGAAAGTGGGACCAAAATTACTTAGGTATATTCACTCCTTTTTATCCAACAGAAGATTCCGTATTAGGGTCAACGGTATACATACAAAATCGTATCCGCTTGACAATGGTATACCCCAAGGTTCGCCATTGTTAGTCATACTCTTTCAAATTGGTACAGAACATATCAACAAAATAATGCTTGGTTACCCCTGCTTTAGCTATTGTATTTATGCAGACGACTTTTACCTGCTAGCAAAAATAACGAGCGAGGAAGAATTCAGGAACAGACTAATGGCATTATTCCAAGAAATCTTGGACTGGGCCATTACTCTGGATCAAACATATCATTCTCAAAAACAAAAATATTACATGTATGCAAAAAAACCAGCTGTAGGCTAAATGATGTTGTTATAGACAATAAGCGAATAGAAAATGTAAACTCACTTAAAATACTAGGTTTAGTTTTTAATAATAAATATACGTGGTCCGAGCACATAGAAACTGTAAAAATGTCATTAGTTAAGCGATTAAATTTAATCAAATGTTTGACGTCTTACCACAGCAGCGCACACCCTAATAGCGTCATCAATATAACAAAGGCTTTGATACTTTCTCAAATTTGATTATGGTCTTACTATATACGGTAACACCTCGAAAAGGCAACTCAACAAATTTAAGGGTGTTTAAAACGCCGCTGCAAGAAACAGCATAGGAGCCTTTCGCACAACTCCTGTAAAGAATATATACACAGAGACTGGAATTCCTGATATTTACAGTAGATACGAAGAGATCACATCTAAACAAATCCCGATACTTATATTGTACACTGAGAAGCAAGTGGCTAAAAATATAAATCAAATCGTCAAAAGGAAGAGGGACTTACGATTCCCCTCAGCTATAAGCCGCATCATCACACATGGGTATAAGATTGGCATTGATATAAGGGCACACAAACTCTTCTTTCCTCCAAAACCTCCATGGCATTTCAACACAAACTCCATAGTTACAAACCTAATGCATCTACCAAAGTCAACAACAAATCCACAAACCTTTTTGGCAACATTCAACGAAGTAGTCTATAAATTCAAATCTCAAAGCTGGAATTTAATTTATACTGACGGTTCTAAAAGTAAATATGCAACCTCCTTTTCAGTTATCAGTAGCGACCTTCAACTTGAAAAACTATACCGTCTCGATGAAAACAGCTCTATTTTTACCGCTGAAACTGAAGCACTGCTAGAAGCCGTTAACACGTGTAAAACAATCCATGGAAGACATCTAATTTGCTCTGACTCATTATCCGCTATAAAGGCATTACTTAATATACAGCATGTAAATGAGAGCATCCAAAAGATAAGAAATGTATTAATCCAATACCCCACTAAGATAAAAATAATGTGGATTCCAAGCCATGTCGGCATCCGTGGAAATGAGTTAGCAGACGAAGCAGCTAAGTTTGCGACTAATGCGCCCATAATTTTTAAAACAACTAATAACAAAAGAGATATTATAAGAACAGTCAAACACCATCATTCACAAATAAAGAGAGGCCAATGGGAGAATTACACTAATTCATACAAAAATGTAAATGAAGAGGGAGTTGCCATAAAATATCCATACAACATTTCTAGATATGATCTTAAAAAATATATACGCCTGAGGCTTTGTCACACACGATTAACGCACAAATTTATCTTTGAAAAAACTTCTCCGCCAACATGTCACCTTTGTTCAACCAGCACACTGACCTTCGACCATTTAGTGTACAACTGTAGCTATGTTAAGACTATGCAAATGTACTTATTTAACGAAATATGTTTCCCCAAATTGTTAAAAAATGTTACCTCAGAAAATATAACCAATACGATAATACTTTTAAAAAGATGTAAAATTTATTATTCAATTTAGATAATTTTAATAAATATATTATTTACTTCTATTACGCCGAGGACCACAGTTGTTAGTTGCCTAGTGTTACGGTTTATTTATATAATTTAATTATGTAAGTAAATTTACTAATAAATATATAAATAAATAAATAAATTGATATCTTGCTCAACATTAATTTTTGATATTTCACACAAATTATCCAGTAAATATACTCCAACACCAACGCGGGATTTGTTTTACAGCTAAAAATACAAATTTTCGAAAGCAATATGCGCTCTTTCAGACGTCTTTAATTTCAGATATTAATTCCCAATAAGTGTCAAAGAATACTTTCTGGGTGTTCGCACGGGAAAGTGAGATTTCACTTTCTCAATTTTACAACAAACAAGTAATTTTTAGCAAAAAAACCGACTTCAACTCTCATATAAATTTATATATATATATATATATATCTCATGATCCACTGCTCGGATCTTATTAGTATGGGACCACCTCAGAGACCCTACCTTTCCGAAGCAAAAAGAATTATCGAAATCGGTTGACGTGGTCCAAAGTTATGCGGTAACATTCATAAAAAAAATAAAATAAAAAAATAATAAAAATAAATTAAAAAATATTCCGACGACCTGATAACCTCCTCCTTTTTTGAAAGTCGGTTAAAAAGTACTTGCATTACCACTTTTGAATGCACTTTCAAGTTAGTAGCTCTCACTTACCAATGGATGGCTCTTCAGCAGCCGCGTATGTGTAATGCTACGCCTTGTGCGAGCGTGTGGCAAGGTCTTGTGCTTGAAGTGGTATTCGTTTCCATTTCCTCCAACTAACTGGAATTAAAAGAAAAGCAAGTTTGTGTGTATTTAAGTATATGTGGTTATAAAGCTTTCTCATATTCCTTTATTTTATATTTTTGTAATCTTTAGTTTGAAATACGCTTAATTAATAAAATTAAATAGAAAATTCTGATCATTAATTCCGAAACGATAACATCATTGGTCAAAAAGAAAATGAATTTCACGCTTCGTAAAATTAGTACACCGAGTTGGCCATTAATGAGATACAAAATGAATGTGTTCTCGACCACGCACGCAATTTCCTATAATTTGATTGAGTGTCCGCAAAAATATATGTACATATGTATGTACATTAGAGTGGTCCAGAAACAATCAAGTCGGAATTTTAATGCCGCCACCTCTAGAATTTCTCTGAATCGGAAAAAAATTTTCCCCTATTTTTTTTTGTTTTGAAATCAAAAATTTTTAGAGTGCGCTCACAGCGCTCAAAGTTTTCCATGTATTTTATATGGGGGAAAACAACCTTTCGTAGAAATGGTATAAAATTCTTGAAAATCAATATCTTTCGATCGGAAAACTGTGGTTCTCTTCAGGAGACTTACAGTATTAATGTCAAATTGTTTATTTAACAATTTTTTAATATTAAGGATTTTTTATTGGTCCCCCATTTGCATTTTCTTGGGGTTTTGGAGAACCTATAAAATATAGTTACCATGAAAAAATAGTTAAAGAAACCATTGGGTATTATTACTGGGAATCTCCTAAAGATAACCAAGGTTTTCCCATCGAAGAATATTGATTTTCAAGAATTATACACTATTTCTACGAAAAGTTGGTTTTTTCCCCATTATTAAATACATGAAAACCTTTGAGCGCTTTGAGCACTCCCTTAATTTTTTATTTCAAAATAAAAAATAGGGGTAAATTTTTTCCGGTATAGAACAATCCGAGGTAGTGGTGGTTCACATACATTTTTGGACCACTTTAATGTACATACTAGGGATGTGGAATTTTAGACACCCGCGGATGCGAATGCAGATGCGGATGTCAAGTATTTTTGAAAAACAACTAAATTAAGTTAGTAAATTATGTTATTTAGGTAAATAAATAAATGGAAAAGTTTGTAATTTTTAATAAATTTAGTACTTAAATTTAAAAATTGGAACATTATCTATATACTTATTTTTGAAAGGTAGTACACTAGTAGTTTATTGCTCTGACGGTAAAGAGAGCTTTGCCGACATATTCTATTTAGTTTGTCCGTGAAATGTAGACTTAAGTTGTTCTGTCAAATGTCTATAGATATGTTCATATCTACTTTTATACTTATGGAGAAGCAGTACAGTGTCTTTTTGAGCTATCTCTGCGCGAATTCTGAACCAGTTCGATTTGCTACAGGGTAAAATATATGTGACCTGGTCTACGAAAAGGGAGCTTACGTGCGAAAACTAGTTTTCTGTGAAAAAGCTGTTAAAAGTAAGCAACTCGTTTCGTCAGTTTCTCATTATCTCGTTAATTGTTCTCCGCGCCGGACGTCCAGTAAGTGTTGTTGTTGGTCGGAATATTATTATAGTTTTATTATTATTATTATTAACATTATTATTATTATTATTAATATTATTATTATTTTTAGTCAGAGCTGGGTCGTAATGATTCCTTTAGGAATTAAATTACTCCCAATTACAGATTACAAGGAATTGTAATTAGGAATCAATTCCTTCAGTCCACAGCAAAGGAATCGATTACTTTTTCAATTCATTGAAGTAATTTCAAATGTAATTGGTTTTTTCTTTAATTCCATTACAAGGAATTCCATATTGTAATTGGAATAAATTACGTGCTAGTAATGTAATTTTGTTTCCAATTCCTTTGAAAGGAATTGAAAATGTAATTGATTTTTTTTTCAATTCCATTACCTGGAATCGCAAGCGTACTTTAGTTTTTTCAATTACTCAAAGGAATTGTAAAAGTAATCGAGAAACTGAAAGTTCATTCACGAATGTACAATCTGAAATTTTTGTTTTGGTCAAAGATTAAAATCGAAAGCACACATTGGACATCTTCTATGTATATCTATATATATAAAAATCTTGTGTTCGTATGTCACGGTCATCAAAACCCGAGAACGGCTGAACCGATTTGAATAATTTTTTTTCTATTATTCGGTATAATACCAGAACCAATGATATCGCAAAAATTTGGAGGGTTGCCACCTATTTTAAAATTTTTAAACCCAATTATATTGATAAAATTAATGAATTATTACAATATGGGTATCAACTTAAAGAGGTTAAAGAAAGAGAACTGCTGGAAGTATTTTTGACGAGGGCTGCCACCTATTTGAAAATTTAAGCTCGGTCAAATTGTTAAAAAAAAAAAGAAATATGTATTGCCATGTGGGTGTCAAACTAAAGAGTTTTAAGAAGGCTTACTGCCGAAAATATGTTTGAGGAGGGTTGCCATCTGTTTGAAACTTTAACCAAATTACATTGATAAAATAAATAAAATATTACAATATGGCTATCAAATTAAAGAGGTTTAAAAAAGATAACTGTTGGAAAATTTTTGAGGGGGCTGACACCTATTCGGTTGGCATGTGGGAGTCAAACTAAAGGCTTCCAGAAATATGCAATATGAAAAGTTCGGTTTATATGGGAGGTGCCACGCCCCATTCTCCACCCATTTTCTCCATGAGTATGGAATTGGTCTTATATGTATATGTATATATCACCATACCCAGTTCTAGTCCTGTACCACAAATATATGCAGTTTGAAAAATTCGGTTTGTATGGGAGGTGCCACGCCCCCTTTCTATATCGAAACCTGTTTTTAGCCTATAACCATCCTTGGAAATTCTGCAGTACATTCCGAAATTTGAAAAAAATCGGTACGGCCTTTCTCGAGCTATGCGAACAGAAAAAAAACGCTTTTCAAAATATACATATATTAGTACAGACTAGCCAATATCTGCTTGTTTTGCGGCTTAAAACACTACTACCGATGAAAATCGATGGATAAATAAGCAAGTTTGCAAGGATTAGGTTGAAGTGGCTGCTAGGCTCAGAGGGCGCCAGCACACTTAGGCCCGATCAGGGCCCATTGTGATTTGCGAGGGTTAAGTGAAAGTGCAATAATTTTTTGTATGAAATACTAGCAGGAAATAATGTTACCCATACGCCATATCGTACATGACCGTATGACCATGTTAAAGTTTGAATTTTTTTCATTCGCAATGAAAACTTAAAATGAAAATAATTTGACTAAATGACCTTATCTAAAAAAACGGTATACAGATCCGTAACATACTCCTTAAAATTAATTTTACGTCTCTCGGCGTTTTTTGTGTAATTTTAGCGTCGTTACAGTGTTATCATCAAAATTTAGCCATAGCAATGAAATTTGTTTATAAAACTCTTAGGAGGTAGGATCTCCAGTCCCACAGGGCTCGTAATTCAAGCGGACTCTATCCTCATTTGTAACGCAGGATACCAGTAAGAGTACTTCAAAGGCCCCAGAAGGCACGCCATTTTGGGTAGAATTAAGGGTACCATAATATACACAATTAACTCAGTGCATTTTTATAGATACGCAGGGATTAGTCCAAGAGAACAGCAGTGCCCAAGGCAGCCACATTTATGGGTCTCATCTTCCGCGAAGCGCGTTCGCGGTAGGATCTGGAAAATTTAACCCTTACCCTATAAACTGAACAGCTACAGTTTAAGCTATTCAGTTTTCTTAAAGTCCAATTAGTAATACTACTTAGGTATAAGTTGTTTATTCAAGGCAGTTAGCAACCAAGAAATTTAACAAAGCTATTGCAATTCAAACGTAAACAATATTTTTTTTTATACATTTTTCGATTACTTTTTAAATTACTTTGAGGAATGGAATTGGAAAAAAATCAATTACATTTTCAATTCCTTTCAAAGGAATTNACTTCTAAGCAAGTTAGGATTTTCTGCTTTTCACCACGTGAAAAAGCATCTCATCTTCCATCCGAATCAACCAAAAAGTGAAAATTGATTTTTTGACACCTAAGCCCCCTTTCCGTAGACCAGGTCACATATGTAAATACCTAAATACACTTAGGTCCCTTTTTGTGCGATATATGCATTCCTCAGAAAGCCGCATAAAAAAGTTCTTTACTTTCATACAAAAGCAGTATTTTCAAGAACCGCTGATACTCCGAAAAAAAAAATTCTTAAAAACCGCATAAAAAAATCCAGCGAGGCAAGATTAAGCAAAAAAAAACCATTTATTTCTTCACTTCAACACTTAGATAATATACCATGTAAAACTGAACATTAATGAAATAAATAAAATTTGATCTGTATTTTAACCAAAAAAACAAAATACCACAATAAATACATGAATTATGTAAAAACACCAAGACAAATTATTTATCAGAAGCATTGTCTCTTACACACTGAAAAAAAGTCATAAAAACTTTCAAAAAAGCAAAATCGCTACAGCTAAAAAATGGTTTGAAAACCCGCATAAATTAAACTCCGCATAAAAAGAGACCTAAGTGTATATACATATGTGTTCCCATGTTTTTGTAAGCACATGCATATTTCTCCAAAAAATTCGATACTGCTTGGTGAATCTGCTTTCTTATTTCACTTTGGTGACGAAATAAATGATATTTAGTGTTTCACGCTTCATATTTTTTAAGTAACTCGAAGCTGTCTTTAGGGATTTTTATGTACATAAGTAGATAGCTTCAGATGTCTCCCCTAGATATTACTAGCACTGCGACAGCACGGCAAAGTAAATAAGTAACATACAACGCAATTTCGAATGTATTTATTAATTCCGCCTAAGAGTTGGAAAATTCTTTCGGCAAGTCAGAAGTGCGTGTGGGTGAAGACATGCAGTCCCTAATGCCAAACGTGCGGTGGCAAAGATATGAAATTAATTACATATATCAATAGCGTATACTACTTGTCAGGCAGCTGAAGTTAATTTCGGCGCGAAAGTCCACCGCAGGAAGTTGGAATATGAACCGCAGAAAATTTTAGCAAAGTGTCAAA